GATCAACTGTTCACTCCAAGCACCGCGTCGCGGGAATGTCGTCACGTAATATATTCAGCAAGCCCTTGGTGCCATCCATAGACAATATCTGAAAGGCTGCTTGTAGTAAAATAAACTTTGGGTGAGCATCGGGAGTTCACGGGACTTTAAAAGTTATAAAGGAAACGAGGAAGAACGGCGGCTTTGAACCAAAGGCTTATCGAAGCAGGAAAATTACCCGAGCTGCAGACGATAGCTCGGGTCTTTTGACGCTGTTATTTATGGTTGCAATAATTGTCGGGGCTAGGAAATGTTGGGCCGCGTTGTTTGATTGAGTTCTCTGCCAGGCCCTCTGACAGCTGCAATTGTTCTGGCCCTGGATTCCGTGAATTGAAAGTTTGCCAGGTTATTCGATCAATCTACCTGTTGGGCGCTATATTAGCTGGTTTTCACATTGCAGTACTGTTCATATTGACTGTGTTATTTTATAAATCTAACATCTCTTCCTCGTCCGAGGCATGAACCTTGTTTTATTTAATGCTGGCTCCCTTCATCAAGTCAAGTTACCTCGCTGAATATTGTTTCCGCTGATCTGATCCATCAGTTTGGTACGTGTGGGATGCATTTCCGCTACACTGTGCAAACGGCCTAACGTTGTCAGTCCGTAGCGGGATCAATGTGTCTGTGCACTGGCGCCTTTAGTGGGTGCCTTTCTACATTTGTCAGTACAGGAACTTTGCATAACCCAGCCTTCCATCCTGGCACACCATATTTGTACGAGCATTTATTTTTAATATACACGGAACTACAGTTTGGATCGATCTATCCACCCCAATGTGGACCGGAGCAGTTCGTATGGAACCAGCACAATTATGGCCTTGATTGAATGTTGCAAACATTTATCAGACATTGCACTACCATTTTTTTAATTGTTGGAACCGTAGAATTTGACTCATATTTGCACAGGAGGAACTGTTTTTGTAACATACTTTTACCGGAATGAGAGCCATGCTGCCAGACTGAAGCTCTCTGCTCATCGGTGTTATATACCACACACTTTTAACACCATTGATTGGTGTTGAAAGAACCATAATTATTTTAAAAACACAACGCGATTTTGGTGATGGTTTTTGTAAAAAAAGCAAAGCGATTTTAGCGATGATAGTTAAACGACACGATGCGATTTGAGATTGTCTCCATAACGGTAGTGTGGATTCATAGATTTGCACGCTGTGCAGTACCATCGCAGATTTATTCACGAAACTAAATCCCAAGATGGCTGAGTTTCAGTTTATTTATTCGAAGCTAAGTGTTGGTAAGACAGTGGGACTTCATAATATCAATAAAAAATTGCAGGCAAGAAGAGCATATTCAACAAACCACAGACCTCTCACAAACCGAGCCTCGTCCCCGCCCCGGGTAGCACGTCTCGCCTGTCCAGTCCCACACACATTTGGACAAGCAGCCATTCCACTCCACGTGCAAGAGCATCAACAACCCTCGAACCATACCGTTCACTCCCATCACCGCTCCGGCTGGCGAGCCGCTGTGTTTTGTAGAGGGCGTGGGGAAGAGGACGAACACACCTCGACGCCACATGACAACAGTTAAAGGGTAGGAGAGCCAGGGCGGGTGGTGAAAATGGAACGAACTCAGAGTATCTATCTAATATAAAACACCATGTACAAAAGTTAATCCTACGTCGTGGATGAGAAAGATCAATTTAGGTAGGTCATCGTCGTCAACAAGGGCTTCATAAGCTATACGCGGCGTCATCAACGGCTACGTCTACACCTACTAGGCTTAGAGTTAGCAAGGGAATGAGCAACCATCTTGGCAGTTTGGCGGCACCAAACCAACCCAATAACAACGCCATCGTGTGGATTGTTCGTCCCGGGCTACAACCGCTCCCAAAACAACCCCGGAGACGGATGGCGCGGCCGGACCCGTCGGACGCGCTTGGCACACTTGTTTGTCATAGTCTTCAAGAAATCACCTATGCAAAATAGTCCGGACACTAAGAGCGGCAAACACCAAAAAATTCGGGGCGCTCACATAGGAACCCCTCCGCGAAGCTCGGAGAGTACAGCCACGCCTTCAAAAGCGCGGATCTTTGTCGCGTTGTGCTCGAGACCCGCGAAAATCTGCGATCACGCTCGATAACAAACAGCTGCGAACAATCCAACATCGACCGTTCTCGCAATCAAGCACAAAGGCAAACATCCGCCGCCACCGAGCACCTTGGTATTGGAAGTATTGCTCCTCGAGTTCGCCCTGCCCAACGGCAGTTCGCATCGGGAACAGCCCGGGCTGAAAACCAGTGGCCAATAGCGATAATTTTGCTCGCTCTGTAGACCTGCGGCACAGCACCGAAAGCTGAGACTGCCGCGGCCCGGGCGTAAATCGCCGAAGCATACAGTGTTAGGATTCCAAGCGCCAACGCCGCGAGCTAGAGAGAAGCCGGCGCTTACGGCGTTACAAAGCGCCCGTGTCTATCAAAACCCCATTTGAGCGGCGCGGAACGACAGCCTTCGTCGACTAATTCGACGCTGGCGCCGGCCGAAAGCTGTTACGGATCACGTGACTAGAATTGATCCCGATCGGTCGGCGCGGAGCGCGCGGCGCGCCCTCTCACGTGAGCAGCGTTATTGCCGCGGCAGCTGCCGTTCTCAGCTGGCCGTCACGCGGCGGACGCGGCCGGTGGTCACGTGACGTCACGCGCCGAGCTGCGGCCGTGTCCCTCTCTCCCCGCAGCGGCGTCACGCTGTCACCGCCACGCCCAAACCGCCGCGCGCGCCGCGCACCGGTGCCGCCGACCACGCCGCGGGCCGCAGCGACGGCCGGTGGGGGGGGGGGGGGGGGGGGCGGAAAAGACACCGGGCAGCGACTCACGGCCGCCGCCGTCGCCGTCGCCGCCGCCGCCGTCACTTGGGCCGCCACAGCATCAGCATCAGCTGCAGCAGGGCCTCGGCAGTGACGGCCCGCGCCAGCAGGCAGCGCCTCTGGTGGGCGCGGCCGACCTCCTCCGGTCCGGCGGCAGCGCGCGCCCGCCCATATCACAACGGATGATCGGGCGTCTGCACATGCGTGGTGTTGTTGGCCAGGAAGGCCGGGTAGTGGCCGTCGTACTTGACGTCGTCGTAACACACGAACATCATGCGCGAGTTGACCGTCTTCCGACACTGCGGGCAGATGCGCTTCTTCTTGCGCCGCTCTCCCTTGGCCATCAGCTCGCGAGCACACCTGGCGGCGAGTGAGCGAACTGTTAGCTCATGGGATACCTGAAGGTGATCAGTGCATTGGTAGGTCATTAAAGGGCTCTTCAGGGACGTGCAGTGGAAACGGACATCTTATAAGCTCACAGATGGACCCTGCTGTTGACAGGTGCTCTGTCAGCTCACAGGGTCATCTGACGGTGATCAGGTACACGGTTAACTCATATGGTCCTCTGGAAGCGAGCGGGTGCTCGGTTATCTTACGGGACCGTCTAGCGGAATGGATCTAGAATACTGTTACATGCGCTTGTGAATATTCTGTGATGGCTGTGTTATACTCCACCAGTGGCGGCACTGACGGCGAAAACAATCACCATTCCGTCACAATACGGCAACGCCGCAAATGCCACTAAAAAACTCGCGTCAGCTGAAGTCGAAACACAACACTGGTCTGAAGATAAAGCCGCCAGTGGAGCTTGGGCCAGTAAACATGTTTCTGGCTTGCAAGCTCTCCGAAAAGTTGTTCTGTTGAGTACACCCGTCACAAACACGTCTGCAATTCCTAAGGTTTCCAGAAATAGCTTATCTTTCCTAGCAGAGCAGCTTCTGAAATGCCGTGAGCAATTTGGAAATTGCACGAGGTTAGACCATTTTACCTTAGGGGCATTAGCAATCTCTTACAAGAAATGCTGGGAAACGAACTTCACTTTTTAAGACTCATGATTTATCCTGTTCGCTCCAAGGAGTGTGTCCGAAAAATATGGCGACACCTTTTCTCAAGCTACGCAAAAAAGGCCAGCAACAAGGCGCGAGCTTGAGTGCAGAAATGTCAGCGCGCCAGCTGACTGCGGACAGCGTGAATTAATTGCGTCATAGAAGAGCATCGCTCCAATATGTGCAGTCGACGACAGACCTAATGTGTCGTCGTCAGCCGGCTATTCAAGTCAGATCGTATCTTACACTGATTGTTGGTTTGAGCCATATGGGTGACCGCCTTAAGTCAAAATTCACTGCTGGTGGCAAACATCTGAACGCTCCACGCCGCAAGCTGAAGCTGTGGACGTGAAACATCTGAGCGACCCACATTACCGCTGTCGGTGGATTTCTAGCAGCCGATGCTGATCTGATTAAGGAAGGCATGTGAGCAGCTCACACTTAATGCTACCGGAAGACACTTGAGCTGCCCCACATTCCCTGCTGGTGGTAGATATTCGAGGGGCTCCATACTCACTGCTGCTGGCTGTCAATTAAGCGCCCCCACATTCAATGCGGGAGGAAGATGTTTGAGGGGCCCGCGGTGACTGCCCGTGGAGGTCACTTGCAGCGGCACAGCCAGGGCGGTGGTGATTTCCCCACAGACTCTGACTTTTTCCACCATAGAATAGACGACCCTCGACCAAAAGTTTAACATCGGCGTCCTGCGTAGTCACCCCCCCCCCCCTTTTAAGAATCCTGGCTGTGCCCCTGATCTCTTGAGCGACCCCACCCCCGCTGCAGGATGGAGGACGCTCGGGCGGCGCGCACTCACTGCTGGTGAAAGATATGTGAGCAGGGCAGCGCCTCCAGACTGTTTCCGGGCTCCTGGCCCAGCGGCTGGTTGCAGACGGCGCAGTAGAGCTCCATCTCCTCGGTGAGCACCGAGGAGAGTCGCTCCTGCAGCCGGGCGTTCTCGTCGTCGCCCAGCGCCGTGTAGATGCCCGAGAGCTGCTGGTGGGTGTTCCGCAGCAGCAGCTGCAACAGCGCCGGTAAGGAGGTAGGCTTCAACCAGGACTTGTTTGCGAAAGGCACGCCAAGTTCTACATGGGGCAAAGTTGGCTGATGTATACGCTTTCTACTGCCTCGCCTGCTGTGTATGCCCTGCATTGTCTGGCGCCCTGTTCTTCCTTGTACCTCTATGTATGCTACGCATTACGTGCTGCACAATTTGTGTTGCTTATTGGATGCTAAGCATATGCGTGCTGCAGAGATTGCAACAGCCTTCACATGCCGTCTTATTTCAGGGAATACGAACATAGCATGCCTCATGGTAGGCGCCATTGGGAATTCGCATATATTCGGCTGTCTTCTGCCATAACAGTGCGGAAGTGACTTTTCTCTCCCCAGACCCTACTGCTGGCGTCGCTACTTCATAGTGATGTTCCCTTGCAGACAGCTGGAGCAAAAGTGGCTAATTTGTGCCGAGACGAATGAATCCCTGTGCACCACGGTATCAGAATTGGTGAGCTCTGGGGACCAAGAAATGTCAAGACTGGTCCCTCATCAACGGTTCCACAGCACGTTATACAGGCGCACTTTCAATGAAGAGTGACTAGGACATTTGTGACGCAATGCGTCGTAATTGGACAATATTGAACACAGCCGGAGTAATCCTGCAATTTCGAGACACATCCCTCGATCGTCAGACCAGTCTGTAAACCAAACTTGTCAACCATAACGTCACGGGTCTCGTTCAGTTACTGCCGAACTACTCAAACCTTAACCATGATCAACCAGCATAGCGAAAGCATAGAAGTCCTCGCTTCATTGTGAACAAAATGGAAGGTTGTGTCATCCATACGGTTTTGTGGGTTAATCAGAGAACTTCGTTAACTTTTGTTGACGGCACAGAATTACTGCAGCACCAAAAAGATAAGCAGGTACAGCGAATGACAACTCTACTTGGGCTCGTTATGTTTGATTGTCATCCTTCCAAACACCCTTCTTTCACTTATTTCCCCGGGTCTCTGCAAGCTTTTTAAATGCTTCAACAGTTTTTTTTGGGGGGGGATTAAACGTTTTGAGCCGCGCACTTATATTCAACACCCAGAGGAGCAATGTAAATCCTGCAAAGATGGAGACTGTCCCCTCGGCCTGATCTATCACGGAAACCACGCTTCTGTCTCGCATGCTTTGTCCAATATGCTGTATCAAAACTAATTGCGGATGTGTAGGCATATATATATATATACATATATATATATATACACATATATATATATGTATATATATACATATATATATACATATATATATATATATATGTGTATATATATATACATACATATATATATGTATATATATACATATATATATATATATATATATATATATATATATACATACATATATAGATATATATATATATATATATATATATATATATATATGTGTATATATATATATATATTATATATATATATATATATATATATATATATATACATATATATACACATATACATGTATTTATATATATATATACCTATATATATATACATACATATATATATATATATATATATATATATATATATATATATATAATATAATGGCCTGCTAAATGGAGCTATATATGTATATACATATACTTATAGCTGTATATAAGTATACATACCTATATTATGATGCCCATTAAGGATATATGTGGGTGCACTTCACACGTGTTATGGCTGTCAGTGCCGGAGCAGCGTCTGCAGACGTGACTGCTGTGGCCAGCCTGGCACCATCTCCGGGTTTACGGACCCACCCGCACACCCACACCAGCTCGCCCCGTCTCAGCAGGTCGGTCACACTGGGTATTGGAGCGGCCGGCAGCCGCGGGGCTGTACTTTGCCGGGACGTCCAACACTTGTCATTGTGTGAGTGTGAAGGGCACCTTCTGAAGATGGTGATGCGCAAGCTGCAGCAGCCAGTAAATGAAGAGCAAATTTACAAAAGCTAGAGCTCCGTTTGTCTGACCCGGTGGCTCAGTTGGCTAGAGCGCTTGCCTTCCGATCCACCCACCTAGGCGGGGTGGGTTCGAGTCGCCTTAGGTGCTCACTGTTTGTCGTCGACCACTATCGCCTGCGGCCGGTGGCGGCGGCAGCGCTAAAGGTCAGTTACGTCTGGTGGACGGGACGGACCGCACCGACCACTGCGGCACGTTAAACTTTCGCCACCAATTTCTGCCGTTGACCTGGAATTGTGCAATCGGATGCCAGGGGTCAGGTCTCACACAACAAGCAATGTTCAGCATGCGCTCTGACCCCAGAAATCCACCCATTCCAAAACTTCGGATTAAATCTTTACGAAAAGTGAAAAAGAAGGTAGTCTGCTCCTAAGTTCAAAAGTAATCTAACTTGGGCTAGTAACGACATAAATTGGAAAGCTTATCCACGGACGTTACGTCGCTTAAATGCAGATAAATGGACTTCGAAACTGTCACCCGCCACCAGCGTCCCTTTGCCATCGCGAGTGTTATTGCACAGGACAGCATAGGCTCTTTTTGAGTCAGCGTGACACGCAGAAGTATCATCGGAAAAGCTCAGGGCTAATTTTCCGGATGGCCATTTTCGACTGGAATCTCAGTTTAAGCGTCCGGACAATTTAAATAATCGTTTTCAGCTAAGCTGTCGTTCGGGATGTCACTGGCGATCGGGCCGATCATAGGCGCATGCGCACATGAACTATGGTTGAAATTTAAGAAGGCAATTGAAGCGACAGCAAAAAAAGCAATGAGCCATGAAATGTTCCTTTTGATGTAAAGCTTGACTACCCAGCCAAGAAACTGAGATAGCTCGAGCGTTGAAGATCAGTCTGTCCCGACATGGGGCGATGACATTTATTGTGTACAACTTGTAGAATTCCCTGAGACCAAATATTAGTTGCTTACATACAACGTGGTAACTGAAATGAAAAAGTTGTAAGCTCGTGGTACAACAAGCCCTTCGCCGATCGTTGTTTTCCGAGCATTCGGACACAAGCCAGCCCTAGATCGAGATCCGAACACAAGCCAGGTCTAGATCCATATCCGAGCACGATCCAGCTCTAGATCCAGATCCGAACACAAAACCAGCCCTAAATCCATGTCCGAACACGAGCCAGCCTAGATCCAGATTCGAAACACGAGCCAGCTCTAGATCCAGATCCGAACACGAGCCAGCCGAGATCCCAGATCCGAAAAACACGAGCCAGTCTAGATCCAGATCCGAACACGAGCCAGCTATAGATCCATATCCGAACACGCGCCAGCCTAGATCCAGATAGAGCAGACGCAGCCCGGGTGTCAGGTATATGGTCGCGTGAATCAATCCCAAGAAGTTACAGCAGACACTCTATACTATGCGTCTGAACCGCTCACGGCGCGCAGGGAACGGCGATAATCCTGCTCATAATAACCAAACGACCTTATACTTAATGCACACCGAACTCATGAAGTGGAGCACTGCCACTTGCTTACCGGCGGGAGACTTCAATCACTTAGACGCCAGAGGTTCCATAACGAAGACGATGCTTCATCGGAGGTCGTGGCATTACGTGCGCGACGTTTATAACGCAGGGTGAGGCTGCGACGGCCCGAAGCCAGATCGGAGCAGGGGGCAAGGCTGGCGGAGACGTAGCCCATCAGTCCACTGATTCAGTCATCGGCTGCCTTTTCAGGACCGTTGGATCATGTGTCCATCGCAGCCGCCCTCTTATCGTCGGCGAATAAATTGGGGTGATTTGATGGACGTCGGGTGGGAAATCGGTCGCGTAAGACGCATGCATCTGAGGAGGAAATGACCGGGACGGGGCTCCGGTGCCTCGCGGGCAAGGCAGTGCAACCGGAGGGGTTCAGGAGTCAATACGTGCCTTGGTACACACTGTGTACACATTGTGTGCACATTACGCATGTGTACACATGCGTACGCGTTGCAAGAAGCCCTGCTTTAATCGATAGCTTTGGTACACTTCTGGCTACTTCGGGAGTAAATTTGTTATTGTTTGATGGGCGTTTCGTACGCTCGTGTTTGTCTCACGCCCTAAGGCACTGGGCTTCTGTTTCAGGCGGAGAGTCTCTGTCAATGAGCAAAATACACAGCCGCCCGCCAAGGCACGAAAAGCCGACTTCTGAATGAATCATGAAATGAATGGGGCTCGAAGATAGCCATAAACGGTGTGGAAAGACGCAATTAATCTAGTGTCTAAAATGGGGTAGCAAAATTCTGAGCGCTCGAGCGATATCAGAGAACGAACCACCTCCTTGCAGCGCTAAATAAAGTCAAGAGTTGTACTTTGTTATCAACCGAAAGGAAGGGCATACTCACCAAGTCCCGTGATTGCTTTCGCCCACATTTGAATCGGTACAGCTCATAACTGCATTATGACTCCAGAGTTCTTACCTTGAGCTATCGGCCTCCAGTTATACTAGCGGAGGTACTGGTCGAGTGATTCTATACAGCGAACGTTGGTTATATTCACACTACTCGGCGCTTCAAGCCTGGCTTGTGATCACGAGTTACAAGCCCAGCTTGAAAAGTTGAGTGCTGTCAAAAGAGCAAATGTTGGCCCTATGATTGTTGGTCCGTCGCTTAACCGGTACCCCCGGGTTATACTGAGGGTCGATAACCCAGCATATGAACTCCGAACTCAAGATGCCGCAAAATCAGAGGCTGAAGGTCTTTCTTGCTCATAATGAGCTTATGATTGCCGTAGCTAGCAAGTTTATTAAAGCAAAATTAAGCTCAAACACACAAGAGGGGTCAACACCTAACCTGACGGGAGCGGCAGCACGTTGGGAGAGAAGAGCGGATGTCTGCAAGCAGCACCTGACTTGCTACGCCAGGCTGCTTACAATAACTTCCACTGCTGCGTGTCATACGCTCGTTGACTCGCAGAGCTATCCACAGAACAGGCATTTACGGCAAAACAAACTTATCTGTCGTCGCACTTCAAGGCAACTATTGGCAACCTGCGGAGCTTCAGACACATCAATGGCCAGGTACAGTCAGTGGCATGAGGTTTCATGCAGCGCCAGAAGATGACACGCAGCATCTGACACTGCAACGTGTCCCGTTTCACCTTGTCGGTCGAGAGAGCCAATCAGCAGCGGCAGAGTGGCCATCACTCGGATGTTTCGCTCGCGACTCTGTTGCCCTGACATCTCTCAAGTAACAAGACGAACGGGGCGAACTTGAGTTAATTATAACTTCCAGCTGGCCCTCGCGACGCTGGAGACTGGCGGCGCCGTGATTCGAGCCCCGGGCTTCGTCGCAGCGTCCACGTACCGCAGGATTCGTCTGTATCGTAAGGGCACTCGCCGAGGTGCGGCAGATACATTCGGAATCGCTACGCTTTTGCGCAGTCGCTGAGTGGGCGATCCCCTTTCCCCACCTCACAGTGCGCAACAGAGCTGCAATTAACGCGCGCACGGCGCGGCTGAGACGGCGCACCGCGCGCGCAGACAGGCGATCACCGTCTGAAGTACAGCTAATATACCCGGCGAACGGCCGGGCCGCTGCGCTCCGATTTGTGGGGAGATCCCATTTTACAATAGGCCAGCTCGATCTCGTAATTTGCCGGTGGCACTTGAACAGGAGCGGGATGGAATCATCAGGCGAGATTGGGTTTTCGGAAAGGATTCGCGCTCTATCCGCCGCTTTTCCGGCCGCTCCGGAAGCGGCGAGGGAGACGGCTCTGGCGGCACGTGGGGGACGCTCCGTCACCGGTGCGTGGTGACGTCGGTAACCTGGCTGCACTGTGACGGCCCTTCGTCCCGCACGAGAGGCATTCGGCGACGGCGCTGCAGGATTGATCGAAACCGGCCCCGAGCCCGCGCTCTCAATCAGGCATGCCCTCGGGCTGATGAGCCAGATGATAACGAACTTGTCGGCAGCATCCTTCAGAAAGGCGCGGTTCCGAAACCGGCGCGGCTGTTGGCGCGGAGTCAGCTGACACGTCAGTCCGGCGCGTCGGGGCGAAAGAAGCGCGGCGGGCGCAATGTCGGACCCTGGGCCTGCGACACGAGTTCGAATCTTGGGCGTTGCCTAACACTTCACCGGCCAAATCTTTGACAAACCGTCGCAAAGCCTGCAATGTCAAATGTCTGGGTGGCCCCATAAATTCTGCACAAATGCAACAACTGTCGTAGCTAAGCTAATGCGAGCCGGCATTTCTGGAAGTTGAGGAGCAGACTCGGATGCCCTCCGGGCACGCGCTTTGATAACTGCTGGAAGTTGCAGTCCAACCACGCGGACGACCCAGTCCAGCGAATGTGTTTTCTTTCCGCAATCGCTAGAGAAATATTCCGTCTCCTCTCACGATCACTGGTGGCACACCAGTGGTAGTTGTCACCGCCGAAGTCGGTGCTAATCGACGCCCCCTGCCCCGCCCCGCCTTGTGCCGCACGGGTGACGCACCTTGCTGCCGCAGTTAGTGACGGCGTCGAGCAGTCGGGTGTAGGCCTCCAGCGGCTTGCAGTCGCAGACCTTCTTCTGGCGGCAGAGCAGGCTGATGGACTTGGCCATGCCGTCCAGGGCCAGCACGCGGCCGAAGGCGTCCTCCATGTCCGTCAGCATCTGCAGCGCCGCCTCGTAACGCCGGTAGGCCCGCTGGGGAAGGCAGGGGAGGTCGGATATTTGTCTTGGTGGTTCCCGAGGAAAATCCTTTGCGCGGCACGTGCAAGACAGACCACTTTTACGATGTAAGCAGAGAGGCTCACATTTACGTCATTGTATTAACCAGTATTGTCATATCCAGTGCCGATATCAGCTACAGTGACATGTGGAAATGGGATCCACCAATGTCACACGCAGAGAAAGCATTGATTTCATACGGCACGCGTCGCTGGTGAAGCCCGAGTCGCACCAGGCTTTTTGACATCACTCATTCCCTGACGTGTGCATGTGATGGCAAACGTGGGGCATAGCCGCTCAATTGATGGATCACCTCAGTGAGTTAATTTTAAGACATCTTGAATTACAACCAAGAGGAAACACATGCTGTGAGCAGGTGCCGAGCCAGCGGCCGCGAAGCCTGGGCGTTCGTTACCTGTCCGTCACTCTTCTGTCGGAGGATGTCTCCCATTGCGCACAAACCGCGGGCGTTTAGCGGCCGGTCTCCCGCCTCCAGTGCCATCCGCAGCGCGTCCTGCCGACGCAGCACCTCCGGTTAGGGCACGTGCCAACAGTCACCAGGGAAACGCGTTCGCCGCCCACTGTCACTCATCAGTCGGGCAACACCCCGAGAGCAGCCGCCATGAAACATTGTCCTGCTATTGGATTACAACATGAAAGCGGTATTCGAGCAACAGATGTATCCAATGATATCGTTAACCTTTTATATTTATCTTCACCGTTATTGGTCGATCGATGATCGTCATAGATGTATTGATAACTGCCTACGCCAGTACATCCATCCAGAACGATGCTGTCTCAATATCCATAGCTGGCCCGACAACGAACCAACATAGATCGTCAGGCGGATCGCGGAACGGAATCGACCGCCAGCCCGGCAGCGCCCCTGCGCCCAAAGAGGCCAGCAGCCGCATTCTAACGGTGTATTTTCGGTGCGTCGCGCAGAAGAGGCTGTCAGATAGTTTGATCATCTGAACAGCCGACGCACCAGCTACGCAAACAACAGAGTTCCACCGCCGGCTGCACCGCAGCCCAAAACAGCCTTCTGCTAAAGCTGAACAGTCTCCGAACGTTCCTCCGCCGGCCATCAAGGGGTGACGTCACGGTTGCGTAATGCCGCCCGCCCGGGGCGATCGGTATGGCCGCTCTCGCCGCGGTGTCAGACGTCCCGGCCGCGGTGTCAGACGTCCCGGTCGCGGTGTCAGACGTCCCGGTCGCGTGACGACTTTATGCGCTGCGGGGCGGCGCCTGCGCGACGGCGGCCGGCCGCCAGACGCGGCGGCCGCCCGCCGCTGCGCCGCGCCGCCAGAATCGTGGAGATAAGACGGCTTGCCATTGCTAAGTTATACGGCGCTCGTCGGCGTCGAGCGTAGTCCAGCGATTGCATATTGCATGACCCCCGGCTGGGGGTCGGCATATATCTGCCCGGAGGCAGAGCAATAGCCGCGGTTCAGGCAGCCATTCTCAGTCGCTGTGTGACCGGTCGGCGGGCTGGCAGCGGCTCCAGAGAGAGGTCATTGGTGGCTGACGTTAAGCCTACAGCCTGCATCTGGATTGTGGCGGGGTAACTTATATTGCTGAATCTGTCGCCGATCAGAGCACAGCGCTTGTGCGAGTGGCTGACCCATTGGCCTGTGTAACATTCAGTGCACACGTTGGCAGCTTCTGACACCAACCCGCGAATATGCCGCGTATTGCACCAGAGGTGGCACCATTCGGTGGACAGGCTGAGAGAACGTGTCTTGTTTGCTCACCCTGAAACGTTTGGAAGCCCTCGAGAACCAAACCAACGGACGTGGTCAGCGGCACTGATGCGGTCGGGAGGTACGGACATGTTCCAGACTGCCCAGAGAGAGGCGGCTCCTCTCCCATTGTCTGCGCCTGTGATGACTACAAGCAGGCCACTATCGCGACTGAGGGGATGGTCCTGTTCTGGGTGAGAGGGATCCCAATAACGCATGGATTGGCAAAAGATGAGGAGGCGTACTGGATGCCTTCATGGAACCATGTGAACGCCGGTACCGTACCGACATGGTACGATTTAACACACAGTTGGCGGTCTTTTCTCATACTTTTCCGAAAAAGTTTATTCGCCTGTGGTTCGAAGAATTACAGAAAGCTTTGGGTGGAACGAAACGCAACCAGCTTTGCTACCGTCAATGTTCCTAGAAAATAGGTACAAACATAATTAAAATTAAGTTCAAAATCAGCTAGCGTCGTTATCCCAGATGCACTGTATCAGAGGGCACCTTCAGACTGGGGAGGCCTCCTGATTGGGGAGGCCTCCTGACTGGGGAGGCCTTCAGACTGAGGAGGCCTTCTGCGCAGTGAAAAGCCACAGCGAGCGGGCCATGAGCGGAGTGCTGACCACCCTCCACTAAGTTGATGGTGCCGCCGCTGCTCGATCCCTATCAACCGTCCTCTTACAGCACAGCGCTGTGCTTTTCATCGCCGCTAAGAGCACCTCTCAGCCATTTTGCGGGTTAAAAGTAAGTAAACAATGAAAGTATGTTATGATATGACGCTGACGAGCTCCAGGGACCTGACTCAGTCATGGAAACCATTACAGCTCAGCACGCCGGCTGCCGCGCTACAAGTATGATGTGCCGATAGTAAACATATGTGCTGCAGCATAGCAAGCCGCATTATGACATTGGGATGCAGTTTACACGCCGTATTCAATATCATCTTAGCCTACGAAACCGCATTTCATCGAAATTTTGCTCTGCACGAGACGAATGTTATTTTCATTAATATCCTCCTACAATACACTTATTATTATTGATAATCTTCTTGCAGCACAGTTCTTGAGAAGTTCTACTTAAATGTACACCGTTGAATAAAACGCATTACATTCGTCTCTCCTTGAACACAGCAAAGGACCCCAGAAACGAAATAGCTTACCAAACAGCTAAACTAATTTATGCAGCTCTATTAAACAGCGTTGAAATGGAGTTACGCCTGGGTGAGAGATGTGATATCTGGGTGCCGTCGTAGCGCACCCAGGGCTGAGCCAGGCTGGTGGTGCTGAATAGATGCGCAGGATCACATATACGGGTTCCCAGCCGATACAGGTCGTGGTTCAACTGAGCCTGGGGCGGTCAAACACTGCCTGCCCCATACCGAAATTCAGGGAAGGAGACGGACTAGGAAATGCACCACTAATTTAAGAACATGACCGAAATAACGTATGAAATGATTAATCAAGGATGTGCTCCGCATATCGGGCTAATTACATGCGTACAAAAACTGTGCAGACTCTCATAAATTGTCATTTAACTGTTTTTAACATCCCTGCAGCTGTTGTCGAGCCACAAATTAGAGAATAAAACACTTGCGTCTCTGCATAGTTTGACGTCGGATATTGTTCAGCCCCCAAAAAGAAGCCCGACAGCGAAACTGCGCCTGACCAGCCAGCCCGCGTCTGATTTCCGGCGTGGCGATGGATTTACGCGGTTAGGCTGTGCCGCAACGCCCATCTGCCGCCGGCACAGCGGGCCATGTCGCGCACACGGTAAGGGGTCGCGTTTCGCCGAACTCAGCGTGTTCCGAAACCCTGACTCATCCTTACCCTCAGCCAACTTCTTAACATCCGGTCTTTAAGCCATGTGCTTTCTGACCCTTCTTTCATCAGCCCGTAACGGCGTAGTTGAGCCCTTACTGATCCCTTGCCGTCACGGCGCCGAACCATTTCTGCCATGAACAACTGCGCTGTCCCGAGTAAAGGCTGTAAAGGCAAGCTTTATCGCGCGCACGGGCGGCACCCCCACTCCCTCCACACAGTCTCCAAACAGCCGCATCCATCCCTTCCATCGACCATCCCTCCTCCTCCGGCACCGACCGCGCCCCGCGGCCTCGCTGCCCGTGCGGGCCGCGCCGGAACGCGGGGCGACCGTAGCCCACTGACCTGACAGCACTCGTACGCCTCCGACATCCTGCCGAGCTTGCGCAGCGGGGTGACGAGGTGCAGCAGCGCGAGACGCTGGTGTCGCATGTTCAGGTCGCAGATCTGGAAGCTCTTGGAGAGCTCGAACGCCTTGGCCACCAGCTGCAGGCCCTTGCCGTAATCCTTGAGGACGTTGAACACCTGCCCCATGCCGACGTAGATGAGCAGCTCAAGACCCACATCACGGATGCTGCGCGCCACCTTCAGCGCCAGCTCGTAGTGCTCGATGGCCTTGCTGAAGTTGGAGTAGGTGACATAGATATTGCCCAGGCAGAGGTGCACCTGGCCTGTAGTGCGCGACTGGTCACACTGACTGTAGAGCGAGTGGCGGCAGTACTGGAGGGCGCTGTCCAGCGCGCCCATCCGCTCGTTGCCGCGTGCCAGGTTCAGGTACGCCTCGGCTCGCAGCACGTTGTCCTCCATGCTGTTGGCGATGTCCAGCTGCTGGAAGGCCAGCTCCACCAGCTCCCTGGAGGCAGATGAGGGAGCGGTCAAGGTTCTCTGCGGCGGACAGCGGTCGGCTGGTGTCCATAACGGCATGGAGAAGTTGGACATTGTCCATGACAATGAGAGGGGGTTTGCCAGTGTCCGTGACGGCAATAAGGGGTCAGCAGTGTCCGTGACGGCAAGAAGGGGTCAGCACTGTCCATGACGGCAAGAAGGGGTCAGCAGTGTCCGTGGTGGCAGGAAGGGGTCAGCAGTGTCCGTGGTGGCAAGAAGGGGTTAGCAGTGTCCGTGGTGGCAAAAAGGGGTCAGCAGTGTCCATGACGGCAAGAAGGGGTCAGCAGTGTCCGTGGTGGCAAGAAGGGGTCGGTGTCCATGACGACAAGAAGGGGTCAGCTAGTGCCCGTGGTGGCAAGAAGGGGTCAGCAGTGTCCGTGGTGGCAAGAAGGGGGTCAGCAGTGTCCGTGGTGGCAAGAAGGGGTCAGCAGTGTCCATGACGGCAAGAAGGGAGTCAGCAGTGTCCGTGGTGGCAAGAAGGGGTCAGCAGTGTCCGTGGTGGCAAGAAAGGGATACGCCAGTATCCGTGACAGCAAGGCGAGGGTCGGCCAGTGTCTTAACTGGCGATCAGGAGAAGACCAGGGTCCGTGGTGGTGAGAGCGAGTCGGTCCGGATCAGTGACGTCGAACAATGGAAATCAGGATCAATGGCGACAACCAGTGGTCAGGTCAGGGTCAACGGGGGGGGGGGGGGGGGGCAGGGGTCAGCCAGGGTCCACGAGGGGGCAGTGGTCGGTCAGGTTCCAAGCAGTGGTCAGTCAGGGTCCACGGAGAAGCAGGGGTCGGCAGGGGTCATGGTCCCACGGGAGCGAGCGGGGTTTGGCCCCTGGGGTTCATGACGACGAGCAGGGGCAGGCCGAGGTCCATGGTGGTGAGGACGGACCGATCGAGGCCCATGACGGCGAAAAATGGAAGTCATGGAATGAAATTGGTCGACGTTAATTTTTACGACCCATGACGTACGACAAAAGATATTGAGTAAGCAACATCGAGAGTGATCATGCGAGTGCACTTCACGACTAACCATTCGGATGTTACGCCGGTCAAATTAGTGTTCATGCTGGTCATAGATCAGCCCTGTTAGACGTCGATACGGGGATCCGTTTCGCCGAATTGCTGCGCATAGTTCTCTTGTTCTGTATGACATCATGCAAATGCATGCACTTCAGTCAAGACCAGCCTCCTATATGAGACCTCAACATGGCTTAGGACGTATGCGCATGTCTACAGTCGCACCTATTTGCATTGGCTGTCTGTGCGGCGAGTGTAAGCAGAATGAGCCTAACGTCATATGGTCCCAACCATTAAGAGCCTCGCCCGCCTTTTGAAGCCTGGCAGATGTGGCCGAGCACGGCTCCCTGAGGAGCTGATAAGCGGCGGTCCAGCCGGCCCTCGCAGGGAGGCGGTCCCGCCGCCTCCCGAGGGGAGGCCGCCGTCGACTCCCAGGGGAGGCGGTCCAGCAGGCCCATACAGATCCAGCAGCTGGCGAGGGATGCTGGAGCCCTGTTCACGCTGACGGCACGAGCTTGTAGCTGATGAAAGACAGACTAATGTGTCGCCGTCACACACTCCAGCTCTGGTCTGGAAGGAAGAAAGCGCAGCTTTCTGGTGCTATGCAGCCTTGGCCGCGTTGCAACGCCTTTCGATTGGTTAACTCGACAATACTCTGGTCCTTCAATCATGCGTCGTTAGAGTTGATTGATGTACGAAGCATCTTAAGCATACAAAAGCTGCTGTCAGCTAGTGACAGATGAACCCGACACTGGCGGCTGTTTGAAAGGGAAAATTCGACATTTACTCGGGCACAACTTATCTCGTTTCTTGTGCATGCTCCAGAACCGTCTCGCTGCAGGTGGCAGCCGTGGCGGGCGGAGCGAAAGCTGCTTGTAATGCCAGTCCAGTTTTTGTACTACAAAAACATGACAAAATTTTGTATAATGCTATACTGGATGAAACTTATAAAGTGATGCCATCTAAATAAATGCGATGTAAAATAAACTTCAGATTCGGACAATGTTCCACATATGACCCATCTCGGCTGTGCTCTTCTGTCTGGCGGGGTCTCCACCCACGCGCGAACATCCCCAGTAACCCGGTCACGCGCCCACTAAGAGCTAGTTTCTCGCAGTGTGTAAAACACGCCCGACACTTTAATGACCAGGCCCGGCCAGACTGGCGATCGCGCCGAGCGGCCGGATGCGCCGGGCGCACGGAGCCGGCGCGGGCCCGTAGCTGCAGATTCGCGACCGGCGCGGGCCCGGCGCGTCCGTACGCGCCCGGACTCGGTGCACGGCGGCACGCATGGCTAGCACGCCGCCGAGCAGCCATCGGTAATCATTATAGACGGGGAGGGCCGGCCGGCCAGCAGCGGCGGGCGCCACTGACAGATGGCAGCGCGCTGCCGCGCGTCCGCCCGGTCGGCTGTGTCGATCCGCCGATGTCGGCGGCCGCGCGCAGCGTCGGCCCGGCACCGGGCCGCCGCCGCTCAGCCCGGCCACCAGAGGGCGTCCACTCGGGCTCGGCCGAGCGCTCTCAGAGACGGCGCGTCCAGGGGGAGGGGGAGGGGGACGCTCATCGCGTCCTGTGACGCGACCGGGCTCTCCACACCCCAAATTGGGCATTTTAGCTGAAGTGGCGCCTATTGACGGGCTTGGAGAGGCACCCGAGAGCCTGCGTCAGCACGATCAGACTCATGAAGACCGTACCCCAGGCGCCGGCCGGCGCGTTGCCCGCTGACCCAGCGGTGACTGGGCCAGGCGAACCAGCCGCCCATCCGCTGGTTCACCCCGGCCGTCGCCCGCCGCCTGTGGGCCCGCCTGTGGGCCCGCATGTGGGCCCGGCCGCGTCTCGGCTGGAGCGTGGCCGCGGGCTATGCGTCGTTAGCAGTCGCCAGACGGCATTATCGGATTTCTGCTCGCTGAACGGCAGTCCGTCGGACCACGCGCCGACAGCGTGAGAACGTCCGCGGCACAAAGTGGCTCTCTCGAAGAGCGGAGGGGGGAGGGGGCGTTCGATCGCCCCCCTGGCTGTGTGGGGCGCCACAGGGCTCTATCGGGCCGTGAGAGAAGGTCGTAGGATAGGGATCGTCGAGCATGGAGGGGGGGGGGGGGAGGGGGCAGGAGCACTTGCACCAGAATAAGCTTAATACCATTTTCTACCTGTAACTAATTTGAGCAGCCCTTAAGCCCCTGTGCTTTCCGCGGCGCCCCGTGGACAACGATGCCCTATGCAATATTCAGAAGTATATAATCCTGCATGACTTGACACTGCACTGACAGATGAACGGTTGCGAATCAAGTGCATTGCGTTGACACATAGGCTGCTATGCTTGACATAGCAACACACCGAAAGGATTCTTGAGGCCATTGCAGTGTTTGCGAACGGCTTTGAAGAGAAACGATTTGGGACCGCATATAGGGCAAAATGCTTATGAAGGGTACAACATATTGATCCTTTACAGCCAAAGCGCGCCTCAGAACAACATGGGGTCGGGGAACGACTTGGGATATCGTCTTGAGAGACAAATATTCACATCTGTGGTATAGAAGCTAGAGACCGATTAAAAATTAAAATGAAATGTTCTTGAATGTACCAGATAGGTCAATCTAAATCAAATCTAGAATATATTTGTCCCCATAAAGCGTGGTGTCCTTACGAAATGCGCAGCCGACCTGCAAATGCTCGAAAAGGGAGGCAAGCACCGGCAGGTTCAAACAGGTTGAGCTTGGTGCGCACCGACTGGAATGCAAGGTCTGAAGTTATTGATTAACATTGTAGGCTGACAGCCTCTATTGACAATTCAGCGTCTCCCGATAAAACCGGGCAAAGTTTACAAACAGACATCACGGCAAGTGCAAAGTAACGAACATTCAAACTTGTGCAGCAAAGTAAGTCCCTCAGCCACAACACCCAGACTTCCCAAGACAGCTCACCACGCTCCTTAAACACCTCCCTGGAGGAAATTTGCAAAGAATCAGAATGGGTATGGTTCCCAGACTCACGTCATCTCGTCATCAGGCCCAGTGAGATGACCTGGCATTGCATGTTCCCCTTGAAAGCCGTCCATCCTCGCCCACCCCACCACGAATTGAACCGTTCTGTGGTAGGCCGGACCACGCCGCCTCGCCACACCCAGTCTCTGGGAAGGAGAGAGCACGGCGTCCACGCGCCGCCGGCCGCCGCCTGCGCGGAGGGTCGGCGCCGAGCGGCGCCGCCGCGCCCTCCTCCTCCCCGCCGTCGGTATCCATCAGGGCTGGATCGCGTGCCTCTGCATCATCGCACCCGAGCTTCGAGAGGCGCAAGGAAACACCGCCGGAGCACGGCCGGGACGGCCGGCTGCCGCCGGCGCCGGCGCCGGCGACGGGGCGCAGAGCGCGCCCGTCGGCGAAAGAAACGAGGCCGGTCGCCGCCGAACGGACCGTGGAAGAGCGAGCGGTCCGGGTGACGAGGTCATCGAGCTCGGCCGGGAGAGCGCCAATCGGAGTGGACGTCGCCCGGCGAGCGGACCAGACAAACGAGAGGCGCAGCGAGGAGCGAAACGGAAGCGGTTAATCGTTCCCTGTCCGCGGCCCAGCAAGCCAGGGAGGCGATGGAGGACCATGGGTGAGAGGAGAGAGAGAGAAAGAGAAGAGAGAGAGAGAGAGAGAGAGAGAGAGCGGGGGGGGGGGACGAGAGGAGGGGGGGGGGGGGGGAGGGAAGGCGAGATAGGGATGCAGGGTGGTGGGGAAGGCGAGCAGACATATTGATATGCACAGCATTATAGCATGGAGCTCGCCACATTCGTTCCGGTCTTGGATATCCCAATTCCCGAAGCTTTTTCTGCCGTCAAAACACCCACGCTGGCCTGCTTTCACCGCAAAGCGTTGTACTAAACGGCCTAAGACTACACACGTGCATTCCATTAAGCGGCATGTATGGGAAAACGGATCCGGACGATCGCTGACTTTTTGAGACTGTGGAAAGTTAGCTTGCTGCTTGAGCAAGCTTGCTTATGATCCTGGCTGTACGATGCTAAAAAGGATGGACAGAAGGCATGGTCTGTTTTCTAAATGTAGTTAGGAACCTATGCTCTATTTCTTCGTGCTGTATGAGAGCACGCACCTTACAAGACTTAGCTTTACTAGGGGTGTTCTTTTTGTAAATGGACCACGACTTGAAACCTGCATGAAAGCTGAATAAAATAATGTTTCATGCAACTTAAGGATGTTAGATGTGATAGTCTTTGTGCGCCTAGCTCTGGAGGCGGGTACAGGGGGGGGGGGGGGGGGCGCTTAGCTCGACCGGTACGTGCGTGACTGGATGCGCCTATGCCCAATCTGTACGTGCGTGGCTGGGTGCCTCTCTGCCCAACCTGTACGTGCGTGGCTGGGTGCCACTCTGACCGACCTGTACGTGCCTGGCTGGGTGCGCCTCTGCCCGACCTGTACGTGCGTGGCTGGGTGCCCCTCTGACTGACCTGTACGTGCGTGGCTGGGTGCGCCTCTGCCAAACGTTGAGCTCGTGTGGCCTGGCCTCGGTTTGGCAAGGCGGCGTCACGTGACTGAACTGCAGTTGACTACTACCGGCTCCAGAGCACGGGATGGCTCAGAAACCGGCGCTCAAGTCCGGAGCGGGCGCCCGACCCGGTGGTGTATTTGAATGACGTCGCCGCAAATACACCCACAGTTTACCAGGAGGGTATTGCAAAACGACGCTATGGAAGGGGCATTGGCTATATTTACAATGCTCGACGTTTGGAAGCTATTCTCATGGTCATAAGTGGCCATGAAAGCACTTCTATTGGGAAGTGGTCCACCCCTCCGCCAACGCGCCGTCCCCGACATCCGTGGATGGGTGTCAAGGTCCTTATGAAGGCGGTTCTACGGGCCTCATTAGACTACGGAGCAATACCTACATTAGACTACAGAACAGTTTCTCATTATTCTACGGAGCAGTACCTACAAGACTCCCGCAACGTATTTGTCGTCCTTGAGTCCGCCGGAAGGAAAGGTGCAATGTGCTGTAGTCAGCAACACACAATTTAACCTCGTTTTTGGTGCACTACTGTCAAAATTATTCCAGATGATGGGGAGACTGCCTGTTGGCTAAGGGAGGAGTGGGCTGGGACAGGGGGAGAGGGGGAGGAAGTACGACACGGATGCGGCCCTTTGTGCGCGCCGTTGCGCTTTTTCTGAGACACTGATTCCCACAACCGTGACTCTCTAAGCGCGCTGGCATGGCGTGTTGGCACCACAAGCAGCCAAAAGGAGCTCGATTCGGATCCACGTGTAATTAAGGATGGGCTGTAGGTACGGAGTGCAAATCTGCGAGGTATATATGGCCACTTCGAATTATTTGAATGAAGTGAAACACTTCCGGACAAAGCTACCACGGTGTGTTTCAACGAGGCATCCTTGATAAGCCATCATAAAATACGAAAGCATGTTTGAAACGGAAACGGTGAACCAGTTGGCCATGGGAAGATCACGAAACTCACCATAAAACCGAAAATGGTTGAGTAGTGCAATGACCAACATCGACGTGGCGATCCAGGAACCCGGGCAATGGTGGAAGAAAAATACTAACTCCCGAAGATCAAAGCTACCCAGCCAATAAAGCAAAGGGAGTACATCAGTACTTACGGAACGTCAGAGCCCTCGCGTTGCCCGCCTACCTTGGTTCATTTCATTAACACACCATTACCAATGCAGTGACGCCGGCGACGGCGTAGCAGCGGCTGCCACCTCAGGAACGCACAAACTCCGTCCTGACCTTCGCCCCTAACCCCAGAGCGTGGGTGCAGCCGCATCACAATGCGCCGCACGCCTGCGTGCCTGGTGCCCGCCTCCTCATACACCGGGCACACGGCCGGATGTGCCGCCGCCCGGATGTCGCCGTGCCGCCGGCCGCTACTCGGTGTTCATTAGTGCCGCTATGCCGATGGCTGGCCGGCAGCCAGCTCGCTGGCGTCCGCAGGCGCCCTCAGCCTTATGCAACAGCCGGCAGGCAAACAAGCGGCGCGCGGGCCGGGCGCGCATTATCATGCTGGATGCGTCATCCCCGCATGAGGCCGCCTCTCTCGCGCGCATCAAAGCGCGCGCTGGCGCAAAGGGACGCGCTTCAAAGCCGGGCTTACGAGGTCGTCAAAATGTCCGGGCTGTGCTGGTGATGGGGCCGAGGTCAACGCGCCGTTCGGGATCACTCGGGCGACAACCCATCCGTTCAGCTCCTGCTGACAATTGTAATTGTGTGCATGGCCATGCAAAGTACATGCGGATGGAGTGGAGCGGGTCGACATTTAACGAAGTGGTATCAGATAACACTTACTGTCACTGCATCTGTTTCCAATATCCTTCGACTTCCGGCTTTCAGCCGGAGACAGAACTGCCCGATCATGCTGCTGACGTACCTGTATTTTCCCCAGTGCATGTAGGCCTGGCAAAGATATCCCAAGGTGATGAAGCGATCCTGCTCGCGTCGGATCTTCCGCAGAGCCTCCTTCCACTTGGCCACGGCCTCCTGGTGCCGTTGTTGGTTGAAGAGCTTGATGCCTTGCTCCACCTGGGGAGTGGGCAGCGTCCGTGTCAGTGGAACTTGCCATCAACACCAGAAACTGTCTACCAGTGAAAATAGAACTTATCATCCGCGCCGAAGATCGTCTACCGGGGACGGTGGGGCTTGTACACACCGGAGACGTCTACCGGGGACGGAGGAACTTATACACACCGGAGACGTCTACCGGGGACAGTGGAACTTTCCGCACAGAGCCGGGAACAGCCTGACAACGACATGTCACCTACCAAAGAGACCACCTGCTGGTGTCCGTGTTATATGTCATCCACGCCCGAGATACGTCGGTGACATTGGAGCGCGCTGCCAGCTCCGGGGGGCCGCCCGATGACGTCAGCAGAATTTGTCAGCGCAGCACGGGAAACCGTCTGCCGGTGTCGGTGGAACGGGAAGGGAGTGGAACGGCCAGAGTCGCGAGTTGGTCGGGTCCAGCAGGCTGTCGACATTGGGAGTTTGCCGGGGCCGACAGTCTGTTAAAATTGTGAGTTAGTCGGGACCGGCGACTGGCGCGGAGCTGTGACCTGGCCGAGCCCGACGACTGGCACCGAGCTGTGAGATGGCCGAGACCGGCGACTGGCGCCGAGCTGTGAGCTGGTCAAGACCGGCGACTGGTGCCTAAATGTGAGCTGGTCAAGACCAGCGACTGGCACCGAGCTGACAGCTGCCCGGGAACGGCGACTAGTGCCGAGCTGTGAGCTGACCGAGACCGGCAACTGGCGCCGAACTGTGAGCTAGTCAAGACCGGCGACTGACGCCGAGCTGTGAGCTTGCCGAAACCGGCGACTGGCGCCGATCTGTAAGCAAGTCAAGACCGGCGACTGGCGCCGAGCTGTGAGCAAGTCAAGACCTGCGACTGGCGCAGAACTGTGAGCTAGTCAAGACCAGCGACTGACGCCGAGCTGTGAGCTGGCCGGCAACGGCCGCCAGCCCTGGGGCACCTGCGGGCCCATCGACCGTAATAGACGGCACAGTTCTGGGCGGACGGCTCTAAATTTCATGAACGCCGCCCGTCGGCCGCGGCGCCGGCGCCGCGGCTGATTTCCCCAGTGATAAGTATGATGGCGACGCGTCGCTGCCGGCGGCGCGCACTAAATGCCAGACGAGCGGGCGGGCGGCTGGCTGGCATCGGCGGCGCTTTTGATGAGGCTCGGAGCGCCGCTGCTGAGCCCTGACCTGGCCGCTGCTGACCTCCGATCTGTGCCGCTGCTGACCCCCAATCTGTGCTAACTGCTAACTGCTAACCACTGCTAACCCCCGACCTGTGTCAACCTGACCCATGACTTGTGTTGCTGTTGACCCCTGACCTGTGCCGCTGCTGACCCCTGACCTGTGCCGATCCTGACCCCGGACTTGTGCCGCTGCTGGCCCCTGACCTGGCCGCTGCTGACCTCCGATCTGTGTCGCTGCTGACCCCCGATCTGTGCCGCTGCTAACCCCTGACCTGTGTCGATCCTGACCCCTGACTTGTGTTGCTGTTGACCCCTGACCTGTGCCGCTGCTGACCCCTGACCTGTACCGCTGCTAACCCCTGACCTGTACCGCTCGGCCGGAATGTGGACCGGGTAGCGCACTGACGGCCGCGGATGGGACCTGAGGTCCGCCAGTCGACAGGGGCGTGACCCCCGGCGACTCCAAAGACTCGCCAGTTCCTAGAAGACATCTACGATCCGCAGGTCTGGATGTCCCGAAAGGCCTGAGATCTACCTGTTCCTTAAAAAGGCCCGAGTTTTGTCAGTCTCTGGCAGCTACCTAATACGCAACAGTCTCTGACAGAAACCTCTGCCGTGACGGCCTTTGCCAGAACACCGACCTCTTCCTGTTCCTGACAGGGACCTGTCTTCTAAGCAGTTCTGACCGTTTTTAATCGAGATGTGGGGTTCCCTCCGTCTTTGACGAGATATGAGCTCTGTCCGCCTCCAACAGGTGTGAGCTTACCCAGTCTCTCTCAGCAGCTCGCACTCTCCCAGTCCACGACAAAGGCCTAATCCCAGCCAGTCCCTAGCGGAGGCCCCAGCTTCACCCGTGTCTGACGGAGACCTCAGCTTCGCCAGCGTCTGATGGAGACCTCAGCCCTGCCGCCCTCTAACAGAGATCCCACAGCTACGGAACCCACGGCCGACGATCTCCGCCTGACGGAGATTTCAGCCCTGCCGCCGTCCAGCAGAGATCCCACAACTGCGGAGCTGACGGGTGACGATCTCCGTCTGACAGAGACCTCAGCGCCGCCGCCCTCCAGCAGAGATTCCACAACTGCGGAGCTGACGGCTGACGATCTCCGTCTGACAGAGACCTAAGCCCCGCCGCCCTCCAGCAGAGATCCCACAACTGCATAGCTGACGGCTGACGATCTCCGTCTGACGGAGACCTCAGCCCCGCCGCCCTCCAGCAGAGATCCCACAACTGCGGAGCTGACGGCTGACGATCCCCGACGCTCGACGGCGGCGCCAAGCACCGCGAGCCTCTGTCGCCGTAGTAGCACATTGGAAGAGCAGTGAAGCGAGGCTGCAGCCCTCTGCCAACCACGAGCACGCCTAATGATGATTTCGTTTGCGTGCAGACGGGAAACGCGGCGAGATGAAGGCGATACAGACCGCCGACGGTCGGCCGCCCCAGCTTATCCCGGCTGTGGTCGGAGCACCGACGCGTCGGCAGTGTGGCAGGCTGCTCCATCCCGTCATTGGAGGTCTGGGGGATGCGCTGGTAATCTGGTGATGTTGTCACAGCGTGTGCTCGCGACGAGTAAGCTCGTAAATGCCTGAGTGTTGGCGATATCTTGCGAGAGAGCGATATGTATATATATATATATATATATATATATATATATATATATATATGTATATATATATATGTGTATATATATATATATCTGGCAAAGTTAATATTTTTTCTCAATATTTATGTATAGCGAGTGATATTTATCCGATAAATGTAATTTACCATAGTGATATCGGCCCATGAATCACGTGCGTCGTTGTCATGTTCGTCCGCCTGATCTGTTTTTTTTTAGCCAATGGCTGTAAATGGTTCTCCAAGTCCTGTCCATGAGTGCTTGTTCATCCCAAAAGACGCATATACAGTAAAACGCACGCATATTGTGTGGAGAGTAGACTTTCAAAGTTCGTGGCCGACAACGTGCATGATGCCCCTGATTTGTTACACATAAGCTTAGCGTTCGCATACAGGCATCCACTCCGCTGAAATGCTTATGATAAATGCTTTTGGCTCTTTCTCAGCATCCGATTATATTCACATGATTATCACGTATTAACTTCGCATGATCGCTCGAAAAGAAACAATCAGAGCTTTCCAACTAGCCAACGCTCTTCAGGGAAGCCGTGAAGGTTGCCAGCCTATCCTCGCGCTGATGAAGTTTGGCCGGCGGGAGCGAAGATCAAATATGAATCCCCCTATCGATCCGCCCAGGCCGGAAGTGGGCGCCGTCACGGCGAGTGAGACATTCAGAAGGGTTGGTCGGTACTCGCACCCGTCCATTGGTTCCGCCCAGGCAAGAGACCATGGTGGGCGCCGTCACGAGTGAGACATTCAGAAGGGTTGGTCGGTACTCGCACCCGTCCATTGGTTCCGCCCAGGCAAGAGACCATGGTGGGCGCCGTCACGAGTGAGACATTCAGAAGGGTTGGTCGGTACTCGCACCCTTCCATTGATTCCGCCCAGGCAATGTAGGAAAAAGACGGCATGTGTCTATCAAAGGGCACTAGTCCCTGCACCGAGGCCACAGCTATAGCACTTCAGTCGGGTGCGGAGACGACCTTCGGGAAAGCTATGCCGTCTCGCGTGCAGGAGAAAATATCCGGTGGAGTCATCCAGGGCATGCGATCGCAACGTTACATTGCATTGCAACAATGTAGAGGCAGCCTTTCCCCGGGGAGTAACTGTAGACCGCCAAACCGTGAAACTAATACGTTTTGGTCGAAACTGAGCTGGGCGGTGAAGAATGAATGTAAGGTTTAAAAACATTGCATTTAAGAAATGTGGAGCCCAGGAGGCAGGACCAATTTTCTGTTACTACGCGGGCATTGAAAACACATAGAATTTAGAAAGCGTTGTTAGAGTACGCCGCAAATCTTACAGCACAAAACGAGCGTACATAACTTGCAAATAAATGTTGCACTAAAGCATGGTAAGTTTGTTCGTTCGGTGCCACAATGGCATACCACGGCCTCACGGAAGGTACCAAGACGACAAGGCGAAGAGGGGTGCGTGAGAGGGGGGGGGGGGAGAGTTTGAGTGTTAGAGAGGGATGAATGAAAGGGAAGAGGGAGATGAGTTCTTCCGACAACTGTGAGAGTTAGCAGTAGGGGAAAGAAGGGAAAGTTTTATCATTTTTTACTATGACGCCCTCGCACCCTAGCCAAGCATAGTTCTTGTTGCATGTGAGGTTGTTTCAGTAATTGCATACCTGCGGCTACTTAAAGCAACATATTTTGATACACATTTGCTGCTTAGTATTTTGTATAACTCTAGCATTATATTTGCTACTCTTTTGTAAAACAGCAGTTATCAAGGCAATCGCCATTTTGGTCCCGTCTTTTAAGGGAAGAACTATAAAATAAATACAGGGCTACCGAGATATTATAGTAACCGGCTTGTAGTCAAATTTCTTGGTCTCGGATTGACACGATGCGCCGATGCCTACGATGGATCACTACGCACTTATCGTGCTCGTTACTTCTTGACACCAATCTGTCAGTGCCATCTACTAGTCTAAAAAGTTGCCATTGAAATATTGGGATGAACCGCGTTGTCTTCGTTTACGTGGCTTGTTATGAAAAGTAATGTCCCTTAAGGACATTCAGAGCTTTTATCCATAACATGTCTAACTTCGCTTTTTAAGTACCATTTTATGTCTGTTATCATTTACTGATTTCAATCTACCGCATACACCTATGTTAGAAATTGCAGAATTCAGTCTAGTACTAAATAGCAGTCTTGGGCAATCTGCACTTTCTTCAAAACCGGCCGATATAGAAATCCAGGATCTGCAGTTTTTCGATCACCTGAAGAGCTCTATTGCAACACTATATTTAAAAAAAATGGGAAAAATGTGCTCAGTACAGGGAAACTAAACTCAGCGGATTCGAAAGACAAGTTATTTACCTCTTAAGAAATAACTATTTTGCAAAGCAAAACAGCTGGCGTTTTGCCCCGCCCCTTCCTATTTTTAGTTCGAGGGCCCTTACGAGGGGGTCTATCGGTACCCAAAAGGAGTCACCGGCATGTCGGTAATTACGGGCCGTTCTCTCTCTGTCCCTACCTCTCTCTCGCTCTCCCCCTCTCTCTCTTTCTTTCTTTCTCTCATTCTCTCTCGCTCTCTCTTTAACTCTCTCCTTCTTCCTCTCTTTCTCTCGCTAGCGCATGGTAGTCTCGACAGCAACCGATGAGTCGCCGACAAGGCGAAACCTATTCAGGAGGCCCAAAACAGACTCATTCGGCATTGTAGAAAACCACGGAGCGAAACTCTCCTTTAAAGTAAGTGCCGGATTTGGCGGAATAAGCCGTTTTTAATTTTTTAGTAATTCAGAACAAATGATAAAACACATCGTTATATTTCCATTTTGATACAATTATTAACAATATTTTGAATAAGCCTCTTCGATATCATGCTTCTGCCTAGTGCCGCTCATCCCCCTCCCCATCCCTCTACGCCCACGGCGTTCACCGAAGTAACCAACCTTAAATATCGTCCATCGGCTCCAATCTCCTCTTGTCGCCTAGGAGCTCGTCTGGGATCAACGTCTTACAAAAGGGGGTATGGGTGACCAATGCATATCGCACACCAAACATCAATGATCGCGCTGCAAATTCTGGCGTGCATTTCCAGCGCGGGGAAGCTTTTGGAATGTTAAGTGATTGACCTCGTCCGTGCTAGATGGCCGGCACTTCACAGTGATCGACGAATTTGCTGGAGCCGACCAGAATGTTCCGTCTGCTGCAGTAGATCAGCGGAATTACGTTTGCGTATGAATTTGACCATGGAAAAGTTAGCCGCTGCAGTGGCTGCCAGCCTATGTCCGGGCCGCCGGACGGATCTCAGCGGACCGGACGCGTATAATACATGCATTGTCTCCTCACCACTGAACGGCGCCTGGCGCGACGTCCGATGGCTGTTGCGTCCCCGCTGGGGGGCCTAATGACACCCTGACCTATTACGCTCCCACCGCACCAAACCACTGATCGACCCGGCCACGCCTCACAAGACCGCTGACCGGGTCCATTGCGCGTCCCCGCCCCCCCCCCCCGCACCGCCCAGCCGGCCCTGCCTCGCTGCTGCGGTGCTCGCCCCACTGCCGGGCCGCTGCCGTGCGCCACTGACCCGTTTCCTGGCGATCTGCTGTCCGACCTTGCTGTGGCAGGCCATGATGCAGCGCCAGAAGCCGGCGCCGCTCAGCGGACTGTCCCGGTCAGTGGCCCACTCGTCGAGCGGCGGCGACATGCCCGGCTGGGGCAGCAGCGCCGAGAGCGACAGCTGCTGCGACGCCCCGCCTCTGCCGGAGGGCGGCGCAGGGGTCAGAAGGGGCGGCCGTCACACGGCAGCAGGCACACACGGCGGCAGTCACACACGGCGGGGGGCGGCAGCGCGGAGAGCGACAGCTGCTGCGACGCCCCGCCTCTGCCGGAGAGCGGCACAGGGGTCAGAAGGGGCCGCAGGCACACACGGCAGCAGGCACACACGGCGGCAGTCACACACGACGGGGGGCGGCAGCGCGGAGAGCGACAGCTGCTGCAACGCCCCACCTCTGCTGGAGGGCGTCACAGGGGTCAGAAGGGGCAGCCGTCACACACGGCAGCAGGCGCACACGGCGGGGGGCAGCAGCACGGAGAGCGACAGCTGCTGCGACGCCCCGCCTCTGCTGGAGGACGGCGCAGGGGTCAGACGGGACAACCGCCTCACATGGCGGCAGTCACACACGGCGGAGGCACGGATAGCGAGGGTCCCATACGGCAGAGTTCACGCACGACGAAGGTCACGCGCGACAGAGGGCACACGCGGAAGAGGTCGAGGCAGAGGTCACATGTGGCAAAGGTCGCTTGCGGCGGGGGCACGCACCGCAGCGGTCACATATGATAGGAGTCAGACATAGCAGGGGTCAGACGGGGTCGTGACGAGGTCAGCAGTCCCGCACGTGGCAGACAGTGCCAGGACCCATGGGGAGCGGAAGACAAGTGTTGGACACTCACGACAGGAGCTAAACTCAAAGGCTCAGGGTGTCGACACACGCAAGGTGATTGATGATGCGGTGCTCGTATCCAGCCCCAGCAGATCGTAGACTGGCTTAATATACGCGATCAGCCTGGAGGTGTTCCGGGTACAATTAAACTTGAAGTGATGTCTGAAACAGGCTGGTTGAGTATCACCAACGTAATAGATTTTGCGCACATTTTGATGAGTATGAATAAGTCCCAGTCAGGAATATCTCAGGGTGCGGATAGTGTGGTGGTTAACGCGCCCACGTTAAATACCACGCGTCCGGGAAACAGAGGTACGGGTTCGATTCCCCCGCGAAGCCCGCTCTTCCTGCCAGGATGAGAGGCGGGCGACGCCACATAGCCTCAGTAGCTGAGTGCGTCGTAAAGTTCAAACGGCCCCAGTCCGGATGATCTCCAGCATACCCCGATAGGCGAGAGAGAACTTCTCCGCCAACATTTCTAACGAAACGGTACACCGAGTACGAGTAGGACCACACAATGACGAACAACACGCAGTGGCAGCTAATGCTACAGTGCATCCGGCATAAGTCCCCAGCAATGTGCGTCGGCTGTGTGAAAAGAACAGCGTAGATTTGAGCCTTTAGGACGCGTAGGAAGGTCAGCCCGAATACAGCTACCAGCCGGCCAGGACTCACCAGGCGAGCGGCCCAATCTGACGCCACGGTGTAACTCGGGGCTTCTGTCGCGTCCATACATCACCGAGGGTGATTTTACTTGAAGGATGGGTTGAATGCAATATCCTTTTCAGCAAAGATTGGAACGAACGCCCCACGAAATATAGGAGGAACTATGGCGTGGTGTCGCGTACTATTTTGACGGATTTCTCCTCATATGTGTTCCATCATTTCGGCGGTGATACATAAGGTAAAAAGTGTCATAAAAACTGTCATCTCTCTTTGAAAATGGACGGTGCTAGATCGAGCTAAAGTCTGTGGCATAGGGTCTGTCGATATGCTTGAAGAGAAGCCGCTGGGAAAAATTCTCCACTCTGTCTGCGAAGGGATCAATGGATACTCTTGCAAGCGGTGTGTACTTTATGTGATTTTAAAAGTGATTATCTTTCAGAATTGTGGCAGCAGCTCACCGCATATTTTAACCGATCGTAAAGCACGTTTAGTGGACGTTGTTGCCATTTCAACTCAAATGATAGTTTTACCTCCGGCAATTCAGCTAGAGAAAATCCCGCAAGGATCTTTTTCGTGCTATACAATGCTGTACCACGCCTGCACTTGAGGCAAACCGACCCTAGCTGACCAATCATCAGCCGTCCGCAATGTGTATGGCTGGTTCCAACAGACTGCTTTCCACGGGACTCGAAGCTAAGACCTATGCTTGCAGGACTGCGACTTGCAGTCCTCCGTCCTATTCCCTCTGCCGCAGGCACAGCCGAGTGAGTTCCAGTGAAGCCATCAGCGAAGAACGTGATAAAGCCAGGGTCCGAGAAACCCGGCAATGTCGCGCTACCTACCACAGCAGGCAAGTATTTCGAAGCTCTAGCTGTCGAGAGTGCACCATTCCTACAGCCTGCACGAGCAGCAGCCGACTGCACGAGCGACGTTATCGCGAGCGCCCGTTCTCTCGACAACGTGATCACCAGCTGACAACGCAGTGCGCTGTGCTGGTGTGAGCGCATGGAGCCGGTCCGCAATAGCGACGCAAAGTGCATGGGGTTTAGCGCTGGCATTAAGGCCCGCCTAATACATTCCATAAAGTGATTTATGGGATGGGCCGCGTGCTTCTGCCGTACCCAGCGATGTCACGTCTAAAGCTGGATCCCTACCGCGCGGAGGCGCTTACAGTACAGCTTATTGGCGTGGTTTGGAAGGCTCTGTAGTTTTGGCGGGGAGGGGAGTCACAGAGATCTTCTCTCCAGGTTGCGCATTGAAAAATCAACGTACAGAACCCGCACAGAGCCAATGGGCTGGCGCCATAACTGTACAGCGTATGCACTGGAAAAGTTAACGGTGATCACCACTGTTTGACGCCGCAGCTCCCTTTTTCAAACCGGGCGTTATTTGCCGGCAAAATCCTCAAGTCTCACCAGCCGCTTAACGTCATCTTGAACATCAGTTAATAGCGCTGTTGCGATAGAGCTGTAGCCTCCAGTGCGGGTCACAGGAATGCTCCCGCAAGTAATATCAGCATGTAATACGCTTGTAATACGCATGTAATACCACCTCAGCATGTAATATGCGCTGCGCACCTTAATGACCGGTCACTGTGGTCCGTCTTATGTGATGCGGATGCACCGACCCGTGGGCCAAGCCGTTTGAGACGTCCGTATGGCGAACTGATTCAACGAAACCTTACACGATAGCCTGTTTTCGAGTTACACCATCGACAGCTTCTTCAAAGAGACACGGCAAGCAATTTTCAACGTCGTGAAACAGGATGAAAATATAAAATAGTAATTTGAAGATCCCCTGTTCGGATGCATAACAGATTTCGGTGCACTTCACCCCGCGCTCTGAAGAGCCGGTAGGTGTCAGGGGCTAGTTGCCACTTCCAAATGATTCGACGTCTTAACCCGGGCCGTTCAGCTCATCCTGAACCAGAACGTCCAGATATGGCTCAGAAGTCCAGATATGGCTCAGAAGCCCGGCACTCAATGCTGTTGAGTGCCGGAAACTTCCATCGGCTCGTAACCTGACAGCTGAAGCCGGATCAGGTCCGGGCTCCAAAACATGCACAGGGCAGCCGAAGATGAGACCATCGAAGAACGCGTGTCTTTGGACGCCTTTGTGCTCTCCAGTGCTCTTGGGGAGATTTGGGGATCACGTTGGTCTCAAGACAAATATCTGTAGGTGGCAAGGCACCAGCAAAGATGCATACCGTGTATCTAGATCGCGATATCACACGCAGCCACCTGAAGGTAACGAGCTGTGCGAGCTCTTAGCGAGACCGTTCGGGATGTGACGCCTGTCGGTAGACGGAGAGATGTCAGGCGAGAGGTTACGAGCGTTCGGTTATTCAGTGCTGTCAGAAATTATCGCGTGATTATTGCCATCTCATTCTTCCTGCAACCGACTTCACTGCAAATGATTTCACAGAGACTGCCTGCCTCCAGCCAGCTCAGGGAAAACACCGCCAGGAACGTAAAAATATTCCGATAATTGAGGGGCCAAATCCCTTGTGTTGCTCCTCTGTGCGCCACCGTGAGCTAGCTCGAGGTCAAGCTTTTAGCAAAAGTGGTCGCGACCCCCATCCCTGAACTCCTCGGTTCACCCCCCCCCCCCCATCCCTCTGACATCCCCGGTCCCTACACTTATGATCACTTACCACGAGACTACCAAAAGTTTGGCCTACGCCATTGACGAGCCTCTGCGTCGTACCTGCGTCAGCCTTCCGAAAGCATTTACCCTCGGTGGTCGCCGCCATCATGGCCTTGTTGAAGGGGTTGGGCCTACCAAAAAATCGTTTGTTACCTCAATACATAGGAGGCTGCCATTTACTCCTCTGATTCATGTGATGTCTTTATTTTTACTAGCAATTTTCTCTTTACAGTGTAATAGCTTTTGTAAAACCTTAATACGTTTACATGAGAGCCTGGTAACCTCTCGTGTCATTCTTAATATTTTGTCCTTGGCGGAACGTTTAAGTCCATTACGCCACAGCCTGGGACAAAACGCGAAAACAGTGATAGTCACGCTGTCCGTATTTTGTTGACCTTCAAAATGCCACTTTTTATAAGAACCACATTCAGCCCAACATAACCAAAAATAAATCAACATACTTTAATAGACCATATGCCTAACCCGTTCAAAGCAGTAGAGATATGAACGGCCGAAATCCGTGATCATGCGTTCAAATTGTTATCAGCGCATGCGTTCACAGATTGATCATTTTTTTCCTTATGAAGTTGAAAAGAAAAAAGTCATGAGAGGCAACTGATTCTGCAAACCGTACAACCTATATTTACGACTCCGACACCGCTTTTTCCAGCACTCCGACGCTTTTGCCCGAGCCGTGGTAAGCGAGCATGTTCACTGGTGCCCTCTTAGCAGACGGACCTCCCAGGTCAGCTAAGCGCGAGCTCGACTCCATCGCCCGCGACACAGTTTCGCTGGCCGGTGCAGCACAAGGCACAGAGGCGCGGTCTGGCTGTCACGCTGGCCGGTTGTCGGAGACAGGGAGGGTCAATATAGCGCACCTTCCGGCTCATCTACTCTCATCTCCATCGCTTGCACGTGATGTCGTCGATACTGGATGTCTTTTTTGGTATTTATTTAATTATTCAAGCCATAAAATGTTTCCAAGACCATACCAAAAGCCAATTGGGCTGTTTTTGATCTACTGCCAACCTAACGAGAAGCACAGATGGGCAAAATGGTATCAAGCACGAACAAAAAGGCATGCAAAGTCAGCAGCATAGCTAGCACATAAGATGCGGACCAAAGCGCACGCAAATCAGCCACAAACATAGAGGCTGGTTCGTCCCACGATCACTCAGGTCATAGCGATGAAACAAATTGGGAGACCGACAGCATCATCAAAGTCCGTATGGAGCAGACACCATAAGCCCTTCTCAATGCGTGTCGGAAGGCTAAGATGATTTTATTTCACTGCTAGTGCGGTAGGACATTATAAAGAAACGTCGCGCGAAGAAGGCCGCGCGACGACTGAAGTGCCTCTTCCCAGC